CCATATAGACTATTTGTACTGAAGATGAGCATGAGGAGATTGAAGATGATGATCTTGTGAATGATGATTTTGTTGATTGTGCTGCTACCTTGAGTCTTGCCCGAGTCCTCATCTGAGTCTGAGTGTGAAGCAGTTGCGAGAACCATGCATAGATATTAGAGTAAATGAAACTCCATATTGCGAGAACACGCCCATTTCGCAGCCGTAAAAGTGGGCGTGGCCAAATCGGCGGTGCGCTTCACACGCCCTTTTCTGCTCATAGCCTACCCCTTCCTTTTTTTCTCCCTACGCCCTTGCATGTAGCTATAAACCTTAGTAACGTTAGGATCAGTTCCTTTCTCCAGTAACAATTTAAAAATATTAGTATTACCTTTTTCAATGGCTATAATAAGAGCAGGAGAGCCACCAGATGGATACTAATATAACAAATTTAAAAGTACATACATAAATTTAAATACAGCTACAAACCTTAGTAACATTGGGATCAGCTCCTTTTTCCAGTAACAATTTAACAATATCAGTATTATCTTTTTCAATGGCTATAATAAGAGCAGGAGAGCCACCAGATGTATACTATTATAATAAATTAGAATACTACAGTATACATGTACAGCTACAAACCTTAGTAACATTAGGATTAGCTCCTTTCTCCAGTAACAATTTAACAATATCAATATTATCTTTTTCAATGGCTATAATAAGTGCAGGAGAGCCACCAGATGGATACTACGATAACAATTTAAATGCTACAATATAAATGTAGCTACAAACCTCAGTAACATTAGGATCAGCTCCAGCTTCAAGTAGACCAATAACCTCCTCAAGTTTACTATGAGATTCTATGGACTTTATCAATTCTCTTCCCTACATATGTAATTATATGTAAAGCTAATATACAATTTATCATCTTACCAGACTAGAACTTTTAGCTTTTTTCTCAATTGATGCAACCTCGGCCCTCTATTTAAAAAGAGAAAATTATTGCTGTATATTAGCTTCAATTGTCTATAAAATTAAGATTAAGGTATTTACTCATTTACACAATAAAGACCGCCAATACATTGCAATCATGAAATTACCAATATTAAGTGCCACCAAATATTTCCACTATATTTTATGTTTCATTATATGATCTATTTTGCTGTGCAATGTAATACAAACTTAGTATAGACAGTACTACTTACATGTAATTGTTAGCAGAATCAACAGCTTATCACTGAATTGACAACAAAAGAAAAAAAGCACAACAAACTAGTTGCACAACAATATTCATAATGTTTACACAAATTATAACAAATTAACTACATGTACTTTAATAACTACATGTAAATTACATCCCTTGTGTAGCAAAAAAATTTGTGGCCCAAAATTTTCATGGATTTCACGTTTTTTCAAATTTCACAAAAATAAAATCCACAAAAATTAATTTAATAAGGTTCAAAATGGTTGAAAAGCAGAAAATTACAAATATTAAAGGCTACAAAATTAATTTTTTTGAATAGATTCTTGAAAAAAATTTTCCACTATACACTGTATGATAGTAATTAGTTACATGTGCGTATGCATACATGTACATTAAAATCTTACTGTAACTGTACATGTATATGTGCTATACCTACCAAAGTAGTGCTTGTGGTGGGAATGTTTTCCTCAGATGATGTGGCATGTATAACTGAAGAAGCATTAAATATAAAAGATAATTGTATACAACCAATGAAAGCTATTTATATAAAAGTACACATGTACCTTCTTCCTTGCCATCAAAATCTTATGTAAAAAATAGAAAATAAAAATAATTTTATATACTGCATTATCTTATATGTACCTTCTTCTTCTTGTGGTAATTCAATTACAGTAATATTGTGGTCTTTTAGCTTCTTCAGGATTAGTGGATCCTTGAGATCTCTCCTGACATCATTAAGAACACATGGTAGTATAGCATAAGTGATGATAACACAATTTTTTCTTAGTTGTTTAAGAATTGCATAATATGACCATGAAAATTCACCAAAGGTTGAGACCCAGGTATAAAATCGAGAATGAAGCCAAGGGGAACCAAGACGAAAACAGATATAAGGTAAACCAAGAGGAGCAGTAGGAGATAAATCAGATTGTTGTTCAAAGAAAGGTATCAAATCTTCAAAGGAAGCTGCACTCAATAATTTAGCGTATTCTTTTTCATATTCAAAAAATCGTCTGCTAATCTCATTATCATCTTTAACCAGTTCAATTAGTTTCTGTAATTGAGGTAGCCAATGAAATCATGCTTGCTTAAAAAATCAAAAAAGCTTTTAAAATCATTAACCCCCTCAAGAATATCAATGCAGGGCATCAACTCAGGAACGGCAGTAGTTTTTCTCTTTAAGCATCCATGTATCAACATTTTTGCATCTTCTACATCAATGGAATTACTTTCAAGTGACTTTTTCACAGCAAGAACAAGATAATCAAACTTATTCTGCAATTCATTAGCAATGTCTCGCAAATTAGGAACTTGATCAATTCTGCGCTCAAGGTTACGAACACCTAAAAACAATATGTACATAAGCTAGTTACTCTGTTGCTATCTCTCCTTACCTGGATTAACAAGCAATGGCTGTGGTGAATGCCCTACATTATGACAGATAAAGTAAAAGTATGTACCGCATTTGCTTGATTAGAAGCCTGGATGTTTATTAAAAATTGCATAAAAGAAATAAAACTGCCAAAACAATAACTCTAACCTATGACCTTGTGATATTTGTGTTATTTGGAATAATCTAAACAACTTGGCTACTTAAACTGGGTACTAAATGTGCGCATGTATAGTCAGAATATTTAAGGGAGTACGTTTATTTGAACTGGGCATGTAATCAGGCAACACGGTATATACTTCAGTTCATAATTTATTAGAGTAAGCAAGCAAAAATTGCATCTCCTCTCAGACATGCATCATCTATAACAGAATTAGAGTACAATGCTACTGGCTCACTTTCACTGTTAGGCAACATTTGGGGAGTGGCTAATGATGGTCTATCTGAAAATTTACTTTTTGACACAGCAATACATATATCTAAGTAAAAGAAAAGCAATCAATGAACTAGTGAATATTTAAAGTAAAACATCACACTTTGTCTTTCTCCATTAATACCATCAGCTACAGCATTCTCTCCTATTTCTCTAAGAGCAGCTATCAGTGTATCTATTGTTGGAGTCTCCACACCATCAGCTTTACGTAACCAGCTAGCCAAACACTCTGTGAAACAAGGATCTATTCCTCCATGATCTTTCTTTATTTTCTCTAGTGTATTGTGAGACAATTTAAGACGTAGGCCAAGTTGATGATATGATGTCTTGCTGTAGTGATGCTTCTCAAGTAATGCAATCACTTCATTAAGATCAATAATGTCTACAGCAATCATATTACAGTAAAATTATTATTATTGTAATTCCACACTTACTTAAAGTCCTTCCACTAAAAATAGGTTCCAAAACTGATTGAGCCATTAAAGGCGTACTTCGAGCTTCAAATGTAGACTGGGCAGGGCTAGTTATTTCACTCATTTGCAC